TAATAGCAAAATCATGTAATTTTTAATCAACAGCTAGCGTAACTGACAATATGGAAAATATCACTGTTTTATAAAACTTTTCTTATATAGTGAACATTAGAATCCAGAACGCAGTAATGCAATAATTAAAAATCCTGTCTGTCTGTTGCTTCTGTGTCATGAATGTTTTCATTAATCCATAATGCAATTTTCTCCGCCCTACCCAGCATGCTAGCTGTCACCAAATTCCTGTGGCTGCTATGCCTACCTCCTGGCTCTGTCAAGGCCTATTCCTCTTAGCTGCACTGATCCATGGGCTACATGACAGGCGCACAGTCGGATTTGCCGGCATATGCGCTAACCTTACCCAAACCCCCATTAAAACACGGACACAGGTTATACTGTTGGAAATAATTCGTCCACAGCTTTATTAAATTATTAATAAAATAATTAAGGAATAACAAATGGGGTCATTGCCAACAAATCTTAATAATGTTAACCTTCCCCATATACATAACATACCCGTAGCAATGACCCCACAATAATAACAATAGATTATTGTAGGGGTGTACCGAGACACCGCTACCCACCATATCGATTGTAGGGGTGTACCAAGACACCGCTACCCACCATATCCATTGTAGGGGTGTACCAAGCCACAGCTACCCACCAGTTCCAGTGTAGGGTGTACCAAGACACCACCACACCCCCAGGTTCGGAGCCACCGACGGGCTCGAACCTACCAACCACGTGCAACACTGCCCAATCCACACTAAACCTCAGGATGCCCACTTTCTCCTCCATCTACCCTCCGATTTAACCAGGCCATTCCCCGCCGCTGTGAAAAAACGGGAAATCAACTAACCTAACCAAATACAGGGAGGGTGGGAGGGACAACTGACAGGTAAGCTTAGGTTCAGTTAAAATGGCCACTTCACATAATGGCTGGTATAAATACTCCCCTTATGGCTCCGCCCTACCCAGCATGCTAGCTGTCACTAAATTCCTGTGGCTGCTATGCCTACCTCCTGGCTCTGTCAAGGCCTATTCCTCTTAGCTGCGCTGATCCATGGGCTACATGACAGGCGCACAGTCGGATTTGCCGGCATATGCGCTAACCTTACCCAAACCCCCATTAAAACACGGACACAGGTTATACTGTTGGAAATAATTTGTCCACAGCTTTATTAAATTATTAATAAAATAATTAAGGAATAACAAATGGGGTCATTGCCAACAAATCTTAATAACGTTAACATCCCCCATATACATAACATACCCCTAGCAATGACCCCACAATAATAACAATCTAAATAACATGTTAATACAGAAACTGGTCACCCAATTTGACCACATTTCCACCAGGTTAAATTGTAGGGGTGTACCGAGACACCGCTACCCACCATATCCATTGTAAGGGTGTACCAAGACACCGCTACTCACCAGTTCCAGTGTAGGGTGTACCAAGACACCACCACACCCCCAGGTTCGGAGCCACCGACGGGCTCGAACCTACCAACCACGTGCAACACTGCCCAATCCACACTAAACCTCAGGATGCCCACTTTCTCCTCCATCTACCCTCCGATTTAAGCAGGCCATTCCCCGCCGTTGTGAAAAAACGGGAAATCAACTAACCTAACCAAATACAGGGAGGATGGGAGGGACAACTGACAGGTAAGCTTAGGTTCAGTTAAAATGGCCACTTGCTATAATGGCTGGTATAACTACTCCCCTTATGGCTCTGCCCTACCCAGCATGCTAGCTGTCACTGACTTCCTGTGGCTGCTATGCCTACCTCCTGGCTCTGTCAAGGCCTAGTCCTCTTAGCTGCGCTGATCCATGGGCTACA